TGGAGGAAGCCTGAAATCTGAATGATCTGAATGATGAGATAGTAACCCAGAGTGGTGTGATGCCCTATCTCTTCCTGCATAGGGTAATTATCCATCAGCACATGAGGTGGAGATTGCTGGTTTGGGTCTAAGGTGTACACTTATGTATACAGAGTGTGGTGACACACATCGTTTGGAGTGATATTTTTAGTTTCACTTGTGTTTGCAGCTGACACTTTATGTGAGTGTCTTTTATTGATATATTTCTGCATGTATAGAGATACTCACTTATAGAGTATACACGTATATATAGATTTTGCATGTTGCACAGAGAGTGGCACGTGTGTTTTATTATTTAAATGGTATGACACTATGTTAAGTTTTTTTTTCTTTGAGGTTTACTGTCATCAGGATTTGCAAGTTTGAAGAAGAAAGAATTTAATGGCTTACATGTCTGGAGATTTATTTTGATAATTGAGACATTTGGGACACTATTTTGATATTTTGGACACTTTTTATAAGGTGGGATTGGGGGATATATTATTTAGGTAGAAAAGTAAAGTTTTATATATTTTGTTTGCTTGGCCTTCAAGGGTGGAGGTGGATAACTTTTCTGGGATATTATATTGGGATTGTGTTGCTGTGTATTTTTTTATATATGTTCAGTTAACCATTTGAGCTCTGAAAGGTTTTACCCCTTTCATGACCAGAGCACTGTTTGCTAATCAGCCCTGCTCTACTTTAACTACCAAAGTGGTATTTCATCAGCACTTTTTTTTTAATGTTTTGAGATATAAACAAAAAAGACTGACATTTTTGAAAAAAATATATATATATTTTCTGCTATAAAACATATCCAATAAAAAAAAAAATCAAATTTCTTCATAAATTTAGGCCAAAATGTATTCTGCTACATGGCTTTGGTAAAAAAAAATCCCAATAAATGAACATTAATTGGTTTGTGTGAAAGTTATAGCGTCTACAAACTCTTGGGGATCAGGAAGGAACTTTTTTCCCCAGCACGTGCAAATTGGATCATGCTTTGCTGGGGTTTTTTTTTGCCTTCCTCTGGATCAACTGTGGGTATAGGATTATAACTTTTTTTTTTTTTATGGTTGAAGTGGATGGACTTTTGTCCTTTTTTCAGCCAAACTAACTATGTAACTATGTAAACTATGATATATATACTGGAATTTACGCAGCTATCGCGCTAAACTGTAATGGCGGTGATCAGCGATTTATAATGTAACTATAATAAATAAAAATGCCAATAAATGTATATTAGTTGGTTTGTGTTAATGTTATAGCGTCTACAGACTATGGTATATATAATGGAATTTACCCAGCTATGGCACTATACTGTAATGGTGGCGATCAGCAACTTATAGTGTGACTGTGATAGGGTATCTGGGAGGGTCACTAACTGACACTGACATCGTTAGTGACACTAATAAAGTGATCAATGATAATACTATTCACTGTACTAATGGCACTGGCTGGGAGGGGCAATCGGAGGTTAACTGTTTGTCTAACAATGTGTAATGTGTGCTGCTTTTTTTACTATCTGTCTGTTTTTTTTCTCCTTGCTTTGCAGGGAGAAGAAATGGGAAGATCGCTGTTCCCTGTACACAGAGTTTTGTGTTTTTCTAAACACTGTGTGTGATTGGCCACAGCCGATCAGCAGACTTCAGCCAAACTTATTGGCTGAAATCAGCTGCCAAACTCGTGCTGTGTCCAACCACAGCACGGGTTAGTGTGAGCACAGGCACCTGAAAGAAAGGTTTAGATGTACCAGTACGCAGCCCGGTCAGCAGCTGCCGCCCGGCCGCAGTACAATTACTGTATGTGGGTTGCAAGTGGTTACACTTTGGCAAAAAAACATGGAGGTTGATTGGTTTCTATGCAGAGCTGCACCAGATTTTGTACTTTGCAGTTTTTGTAAATCAACCCTTTTAAATTCTATACACTGGCGACCAAGAACTGTTGCTAGAAACACATAAATAATTGATCTAAATTCCAATTCACTATTTCACTGTGTGTGTGTGTGGGCATATTAATTAAATAACCACAGTATTATGAGGTCTCCACCCAATATTGCGTCTCACCCAGGAATGAACATACACATTCTATAAATATACTGAACACATATTTAGAAGACAATTGAAAACATTTTCTTTCTAGCACAAAAGCACATTTCCTGAAAACATTAAAACACATTCTAATATATGTTAACCATTTGTATCAGCATAAAAAAATACATAATAACTGTTCCAGGTAATTATTTAAAACTATTGATTTGCTCTAATTAATGAAACATTAATGAACCAGGCAGCCCATAAATGCTCACTGACTGCTATCCTTGATAATTAGAAACACGGTGACACTTTGGCTATAATAGACAAATCATATTTTCATTTCTGGATTCAAATTATTTGCCATTCCAGCAGGAGATTGACAAGATCCAATGTTCCAGTCTCCACAACATATGAACATGGTTCTGTAGATGTACAAGACCCTTTTATTAGGTACATTTTAAAAGTGTTGCCACCAGTATCACCGTATATAGTCCATCTTCCAAGTATTGCAACACCATAACTCTTCAAGTTCCCCTAGTAGGATTTTCACAGCCATTTAGGTGCCATTTACACATGAGACTCCTTTACACTTAGCTGATGTTAACGCAGTACATTGTAAGTATGGATCATTGGTTACCACAGTTCTCCATATGCAACAAAATCACTGCATGTACCAATAACGATAGTAGAGTGCATGCATTTATTTTTCATTGTTCATAAGTTGTCACACATCCAGCTATGGCAGCAAATTCCTGGGTGGCTGTAGAGTATAGGCATTTATCCTGCACTTTTTGCATGTTGTAGCACACTCAGCTGTGGCATGTAAATAGGGTCTGCTTGTTAGCAGGTGCAGTTAGCTTGCTTGCCAGTAGACGTCTGTCCCCAACGCAGTCTGGTATAGGGAAAGTGTAGTCGGATGTAGTCGGCTACTGTCCAAGGGACAGCTATAGAGCTGAAAACCCCAGGCGAGGTGGTTCAGCACTCAGTAGGAACAGCTGTAGTCACCCTGACTCTTTTTGTGGTGTTCTATGGGCCATGAGCACAATGAAAAAATCATTTTTGGCCAAACCAGAGTCCTCTGAAATAAGTACTAGTACACCTGTGCATAAATGTGCTATCTGGGATTGTACCTATCTAGGCAGATCTATGGAAGGGTCATTGGGAGAGACTGGTATGCTAACGAAAGCATCTTGATAGACTTAGGGAAAGTGATCATGGGGAAAGTGATCCCAACTCACTGGTGTTCCCCAGGAGAGGAGAAGATGGCTTACAAATTATGTGCTGGCGTTCTGCGCCCAAATGACAAGAATGTTTACTACTGTGTGTGGCATTCCATGCCAAGAATTTTGATATTCTGTTAGTGTGATGTTAGATGTAATGGAAATCTTGCAAAGTTACAAAGTTGTAAAGTACGGAAAATGCATTTCGTGCGCAGGCAATCCTTTGTTTTCAAATATTAAGGCCTATGGCTGGGAATGTCATGAGTAGGCTTATGGCCAGGAGTGTGACACAGTGAGGTGAAGGGTTCCATCTACCAGTAAGTGGGTAGCTGTCCTATCCAAGATGAAGCACGGAGCGGACTTGCACAGTTTGGTGCCAACACCTGGCCAATCACGAGCCGCCTTACATGCTGCTTCGATCAACTGGGCTAGGTAAACTGTATCCTAATAATCAGCTCATATCACAGAGATACAGCCTTGTACATGCACAGATAAAGACCATGCAGAGATTTAAAATAGAAAGATTTCACCAGTTAGTATTAAATGATTACCTATAGTCTATTCTCTTGGTTGCACTGCTTCCAGCAGTGTATGTGTTATGTTAGGGCTTTTATCCATTTATATTTCAGCCATGATAGCCATCATGTGTTGCCATGGTCAAAGAAATCTGCCTTGAGACCTTCAGAATCAATATTGCACTCTCCTGTAGCTTGCAGTATATGGCAATAAACTGTTGCTATAACCAAGCAGATTTTGAGTTGGCGACTTCGGAAATATCTAGCAGGCGTACAATAAACTTATGCCAGAAAGCCTTAAAGCAGATTTCTTTGACCCTTGCAACACATGATGACTATAATGGCTGATGGATAAAAGCAAAAAAAAAAGTAAAACATACACCACAGGAAGCAGTGCAACCAAGAGAAAATCTATGAAATGAAGAGAACTATTGGGAATAATTTAATACACATTCATGGAAAAAATATATTAAATGCTACAGGACAGACTCAACTTTCAGCATTAGCTTCTATGATGTTAGAAAATAACTTATTGTTGGAACTGAAACACACAAATAACCTGCACAACAGAGTAATTGAACTCTTCTTAAGGAAAGAAAGAAGGATGGATTTTGTGTGTACGATAATCAGTGTTTTTGGTGAGTATATTACATTTTATTTACATTTCTATACAGTAACCCTGTCTAATCCAGGCCCCGCTTTTTCTACATCCCTGTTTTTCCTGTGCTGAATTTTTAACGTTACAGCCAAACATTGCTGGATTAATTCAGGTTGGACATCACTGAAGGCCTAGGTGTGAAATGCACAGCCACCCACTGGTTTTACCCATTCCCTACTTTATTTATAACTTTTTGAATGTTTTGGCTTCAGATGTACTTCAATTTGATTAACTACTTGCCAACCGCAGATAGCCAAATGACGGCTACACAGCGGCCGGCCAGTTCTGGGAGGGCGTCATATGACGTCCTCCCAGAATGCGCTCTCCTGCGCACCCCCGGGGGCGTGCACCCGGTGATCTCCGTGACCACAGCTGATCACGTGATGTGGTAAAAGGCCAATCACAGTGGCCTTTTATCACGTGATCAGCCGTGTCCAATGACACGCTGATCACCGGGAAATGCAATTCTCGGCTGCACTTTCCTCACGCTGTCAGAGCGCGAGGAAAGTACTGCCGAGGACCGGCAGTTGTCAGAGCAGGGATCGGCACCAATCATCAGGGCACTGATGATCAGTGGCCTGATGATCGGTGCCCAGCAGTACCACCCACGAGTTCTGCCCACCTGTGCCCAGCAGTGCCACCTACCTGTGCCCAGCAGTGCCACCCACCTGTGCCCACCAGTGCCACCCACCAGTGCCACCCACCAGTGCCCATCAATGCAGTGCTGCCAGTCAGTGCCACCAGTCAGTGCTCAGCGGTTTTGCCAGTCAGTGCCAAGCAGTTGCACCAGTCAATGCCTAGCAGTGCCGCCAGTCACTGCCCAGCAGTGCTGCCAGTCAGTGCCACCTATCAGTGCTGTCTACAAGTACCCATCATCAGTGCCACCTACCAGTGCCACCTATCAGTGCCGCCTATCCGTGACGCCTCATTAGTGCTGCCTATCCGTGCCACCTCATTAGGGCTGCCTATCAGTGCCCTTCAGTGCTGCTTATCAGTTCCCATCAGTACTGCCTATCAGTGCCCATCAGTGCTGCCTCATCAGTGAAGGAGAAAAATTACCCGTTTGAAAAAATTTTTATAATAGAAACAAAGAAAATGTTTTTTTTTTCAAACTTTTTGCAATTTTTTTTGTTTATAGCGCAAAAAGTAAAGTAAAGCGCCCAGTGGTGATTAAATACCACCAAAAGAAAGCTCTATTTGTGAGAAAAAAATGACAAAAATTTCATATGGGTACAATCTTGCATGACCGCGCAATTGTCAATCAAAGTTCAACAGCGCTGAAAGCTGAAAATTGGCCTGGTAAAGAAGGGGGTATAAGTGCCCGGTAGGCAAGTGGTTAAATTATACCCACATGTCAAAGTGATCAGTAGATCCACATGTAAGCAGCTGAAATTATTATAAAAGTTGACCTTGGTGCCATCTATGTTTTCTACTGCTCCTCGAAGGTTTGTAAAAATGAATATAGCTAAATGTTTGCCAGAAATGTTGAGATCTGCATTTACAGTTAGCTGGACCTATGTTAAACTTCATGTAGCACTGAGACTCCTTTAGGCCAAGCAGCAGACTATTTCTCCTGGCCACACAGGATGTTTCTCCCTCTCTGTACTGGATGCAGAACACAGGGAGAGAGTGGAAGACAAGGGATGTTTTCCACTGGATGTTGGTGAGCCTGGGGTTTTCTATCCCTAGCAAGCAGTCCAAGGAGGATTCCTATTGACTGTGGTAGTGGCCAGAATATTATGCTTGCCCACCACCCAAACAGAGCTTCAGTGAGCCCAGGAGCAGGGCTCAAGGCAGGCATATAGCTGGAGATTTAAGGAGCAGTGAACATGGAGAGCAGGTAGAGTTCTGGGGAACTCCAAAATAAAGCAAACGAAACCAACGCTCCAATCTTCATGCAAACCAAGGGATTTGTCAAATGCCAACCAAAGAAGTGCTGCCCTTCTGAGATCGGGAAATCTGACCACTGATGAATAAAAACAAACAAAAACAAACAAGGGCGCACTCTCATCATGCATTACTGTGATATAACACATAATTTATTAAATAAAAAAGGATGTATACTCACAAACCAATGAGATAATGGGCAGTATAGGTGATCCACAAGAACAGTCACAATACAACTGTGTCTAATGATGCGCGGATAAGCTGACGCGTTTCGGGAGCTGAACCCCCTTCCTCAGAGCTCTGAGGAAGGGGGTTCAGCTCCCGAAACACGTCAGCTTATCCGCATCATTAGACACAGTTGTATTGTGACTGTTTTTGTGGATCACCTATACTGCCCATTATCACGTTGGTTTGTGAGTATACATCCTTTTTATTTAATAAATTACGTGTTATACCACGATAATGCACGATGAGAGTGCGCCAGAATTGTGGGGAAGCCTACAGATGTGAGACAAGAGGGGGCTGAAGCCTCCCCTGGGAAAGGCGTTGTTGGTGAAAGCTGCCAGGACACATGAGACTGTCTTTGCTGTTGAGCAGAGTTCTGCTGAGGCTTCACAGAGGGAAAAGAGTCACATGCTGCATGTAGTAAGCAGGGATCTAATTTCTTATGGTTCAAGTGTTCCAATTGTTCTAGAGATGTTCAGCTAATCCAGTGTTCAAAGGTTCTGTGCAGTGCTGAGAGACCGCTGAACTGGAACTCCTGGGAGGAGGCTACAGTCTTTGTCCATCACTGTCTGAGACCAGGAACCAGCTTCATCAGTGACGAGATGCCTCTTGGCCACCAACAGTTCACCAACAGAGCACTCCACTACAAGTTCCTTCTGCATCGCAGTGTATTTAGTCCCAATGGTCAGTGGAATAGGAAAATAGAAAGACTCTTGCTTGTAGTCAGGCCTTTTGCTCAGAGGCAGGCCATTCTAGATCCATTGTGCTGTCATTTGTAATTATGATGGGATCTTTTAAGTGCTATGTTGTTGCAATGTACCTGCTGACCCTTTCTTCTTAACAGGGTTTTATCCACTTAAAAAAATTCCATTTAAAAAGTTACAGTATAGTCTGTCAGCATAGGGAAGTGTGTCATTTCAGGTAATGGTGACTCATCACTGGTGTAAGACATGAGACAGACCCAAACAATTCAGTGGGTAGAACTACATTCCACATGCAGATTTTACTGAAGCCAGCATCTGCTCATGTATTTTTATCATCATAAGCTCAATTTAAACGTCCAGGCTTGCATTGTGTTTAGTGCAATGTGTACATCTCTTGTCTAAAGCAACCATGAATTTCCTTGTTTCTGTAACATGCAAGGGATCCTAAACTAATATTTAATAAGGTGGTGTTTATAATTCACAATATTCATCACTCATTTGACAGGAACGTGTGCTATTACAGTTGACCAAATTCCCGGGTCCTCTCTTACAGGTAACAGGGCAGGACAGAAAAGAATGGAACCAAAGCAAGAATTCTAATGTTGGAGGATTTTATTTAGAAGTATTGGTCAATTACTGAGCTTCTGGCCCACCATCTGTACCCATACCTTTTTCACATAATGATATGGGTTATGCCACATACAGCCCTGTTTAAGAATAGCACAAAGGTTGGTAGTAAAAGGCTTCACCAAGCACAGTAAATGAATTTTCTGCTAAATAGTTTGGCAATGATTCTATATTAAGTTTAGACAAACATAACCCAAAAAGAATATATAAGACTGGGTACTCAGATTTTAGTCACATGTGCAAACCATATAATCTCTCTGTTTATTTCTACATAACTGAACAAAAAGTGACCCATAAGATATAAGAACACTCCAGTTACTTACCTGTCCCATCCATGAGTTCAGAGGTTGGAAGAACTTCATATGCACATGTATCCCCTGACACTGTACCCGATTCCAGCTCTGTTATAACTGGTAGGGAGGATGAACCTGTTCCAATTGGTTGACCATTTTCCATCATTCCTTCTTCATTCTGTAAATCACCATCTTAAAAAAAAAGGAGCACCAAAGGTTAGTATGATATGTTCTACCCAACTGTTGCTCATACATAGCCGTTTAACATTTCCAGTAGGAGAGGCCATAAAAGTTGACCTTTGTGGGAAAAAGCATTACCTATTGGTATGTTTGGTACCACAAGCTGGTACATCTTCTAGTAAAGTACCTTTGCAAACCACTGGATAAATATACACTTTGATGGGCCATCATTCACACAATAAGAGAGCATGATCAAAATCAGAATATGATCAGCATTTTGCTGGCTAGAAGGAGGAACCCAACAGAGACTTAGTGCAGTTGCTAAGTGATTGTATAATCCATTTCATAGTGCTGTTGGACAGTGCCCATACAGTCAGTGAGACACCAGGAATACTTTTCATCCACACAAATTTAAAAATGCATTAAAAATATAATTTTGTTGTACAGAGGATATAAAAAGTCTACTCACCCCTCTTAAAATGTCAGGTTTCTGTGATGTAAAAAAAATTAGACAAAGATAAGTCATTTCAGAACTTTTTCCACCTTTTATGTGACCTATAAACTGTACAACTCAATTGAAAAACAAACTGAAAGCTTTGGGGAGGAGTCAGTACACACCTGCCATCATTTAAAATGTCTCTGATTAACCCCAAATAAAGTTCAGCTCTTCTAGTAGGTCTTTCCTGACATTTTCTTAGTCGCATCCTACAGCAAAAGCCATGGTCTGCAGACAGCTTCCAAAGCATCAGAGGGATCTCATTGTTAAAAGGAATCAGTCAGGAGAAGGGTACAAAAGAATTTCCAAGGCATTAGATATACCCATGGAACACAGTGAAGACAGTCATCATCAAGTGGAGAAAATATGTGTCAACAGTGACATTACCAAGAACTGGGCATCCCTCCAAAATAGATGAAAAGACGACCATATAATAATATGCAACCATATTATTTTAGTTTTTTTATTTTTGCTTCCCTCCCCCTAAAAGATTTCAGTTTTATGTTCAACTGAGTTGTACAGTTTATAGGTTACATTAAAGGTGGAAAAAGTTCTGAAATGATTTATCTTTGTCTAATTTTTTCCCATCACAGAAACCTGACATTTTAACAGGGGAGTGTAGACATTTTATATCCACTGTAGGTGATAACCAAAATAAACAGTTTAAAAAAAACCAAAAAAAAACAAACCATATCTATATATATATATATATATATATATATATATATATATAAATATATATATATATTATATTCGATTTTTTTATTAATATCATGAATTAAAATGAAGATGAATTTAAAAAATACAATCCCGTATCGTAAAATAACTTTTATTGAAAGTAACACACAAAAAATTGGACAGAAAGTAAAATGCAATATATATAAAATTAAAAAACTTTAATAGAGGTGTTTTTGCATTGAGGTCAATAGGGGGAATTTTTGCTCTGAAGTCAATAGGACATGATTTTACATTGAAGTCAATGGGACACCATTTTGCATTGAATTCAATAGGGGTGTTTTTGATAATGAAGTTAATGAGGCGTGATTTTGAATGGAAGTCAATGGGAAGCGATTTTGCATTTAAGTCAATAGGAAGCGGTTTTGCACTGAAGTCAATAGGGAGCTTTTTGCATTGAAGTCAATGTGGACATGATTTTGCATTGAAGTTAATGGAACGCCATTTTGCATTGAAGTCAATGGGACGGTATTTTGCACTGAAGGCAATTATCATTATCGGCGCTTTTTTTTTTTTTTACATAACCCTAAAACCCTATTTTCAGTCAATATATTGGTGCCTCACTAGTTTTCACCAGAACAAGTGTCCTTATTAGAAGAGTTCCTTTCTAGTCCTATTCTGCTGACAACTCATAATTTTTGGATTTTCTTCACTTTCAGTCTTAATGACAGTGATTACCATGCTGGGTCGCAGACAGCAATAAACACCTAAAGCACGGCTCTAACCCCTCACCACATTATCCACTATAAATCTACAAAAAAAATTGACTTTAGATAGATGTTAATCTGTAAGTTTGCTAATAGTGAGCGTTTAGTAATAGTTTTGTTTTGTTAATTTATTTACTTGCATTGTCAAGGTACATTCGTTTATGTACTGAGCTGTAGAAATTATGTTGAAAAGCATCTGCTACATTGAAAAAAAATCAAACTGAGGTCAGATGAGGCTAATTACATTTCTTTAGTCCAAGTTATTATACAACAAACACGCCAAGTTCATATAATACTATCTAGTGCTGCTTAGATGCTGCTGAGTCGTTATTAGTCTAATTAATTATACCTCCATATGACTGCATAAAACTATCAATTTAATTACAAGTGGTTATGTGATCGATGTCATGTTACACTGTCAGGAGGAAGGCGAGAAATAGCTACTGAATACAAATAGAAACATGCCCCTTACCCCCATGGCCACACTTTGTCGTGTACATAAAGCTGCATTCCTTGCATACAAATTGATCAGCAATACATTTATCATTGACCTGCCTGCTTTAAGCTCAGCCTAATCATGAAACCAAATAATCATTTTTGAAGTTCAACTGTGGGAAAATAAAAAATGTTCACTGTCACTAGACTTAATACAGTACTTATTTGTTCTTCTGAACCCCCCCCCCATGGGTTTCAATGCCAGTTAATCCCATCAGGAAATATGTTATTTTACTAGTTCCTGTAAGAGGCCAACTGTCTGGCCAAAGCAGACGTTACAGGGGTTGGGACAAACCATTTAACACTGATAGGGTTTTCAGAAAAGTCAAATTTTACTTCTACACTGTAACCCCCTTCTCTCCTGTCCGTGGAATCCCTTTAAATTTAGAGGTGGGGGGGGGGAGCAGTTTTAATATCCAGATCATGTCACCACTGTGATTGGTTGTTACAGTGGTCACAGATCAGGGGGAATGTTCTACCAGCTTCTGTTCATAACGGCAGAAGAAAAGGAGGGCGCTAGGTCAGGAGGAGTAAATTCAGTGAAAAAACTGTAAAACAGAAGACTTATATCTGGGATTCCTTCAGTTGGCATGTGGAGTGGAAGGACCAGTAGAGGAGCGGGATCCTGGTGCAGTCAGGTGGATGGATCGGTGACCACAGTGGGACCATGCAGGGAGCCGCTGGCAACTCGGCTATGTGTGTTCAAAGTTCCTGCCCAGCAGGGAAGAAGATGACAGATGCCGCGAAAAGCAGAGGAAAGGAGGCGCCAGGTGAGAATAGTGTAAAAACATTAAAGGCTTTAATGCAGAAGACTTACATATAAAAATCCTCCAGTCGGCATGTGGAAATGAAGAACAGGCAGAGGAGCAGGATCCTGGTCACTCAGGTGGATGGATCAGTGACAGCAGAGGGACCAAGCAGGGAGCCGCTCGCAGGCTCAGCGGTGTCAGTTCAAAATTCCCCACCCAGCGGTGGATAGGTTGACAGCTTGCTTGACAAAGGAGGCGAGCTTCTGAAATGCATTGCACCGGCCATTCACGGCACCTGTCATGTAACCTCTCCACCGATTGGCAGGAATTTTGAACAGACACCGGTGAGCCAGCGAGTGGCTACCTGCTTGCTATCACTGATCCATCCACCTGAGTGACCAGGATAATGCTCCTCTGCCTGTTCTTCATTTCCACATGCCGACTGGAGGATTTTTATATGTAAGTCTTCTGCATTAAAACCTTTACTGTTTTTACACTTTTCTCACCTGGCGCCTCTTTTCCGCTGCTTTCCACAGTCCCTGTCATCTTCTTCCCTGCCAGAGGGGAACTTTGAACACACATTGCCGAGTTATGAGCGGCTCCCTGCATGGTCCCACTGTGGTCACCGATCCATCCACCTGACTGCACCACGATCCCGCTCTTCTACAGGTCCTTCCACTCCACATGCCAACTGAAGAAATCCCAGATGTAAGTCTTCTGTTTTACAGTTTTTTACTGAATTTACTCCTCCTGACCTGGCGCCCTCCTTTTCTTCTGCCTATATTCGAGGGATTCTCCACATCCTTGATGATGAGCTGCCGGTCCCTTCCCAGGTGGTTGCCTTCTGGTCCATCCCTTTTTCCATCATCAGCCTCAGGACACATCACCTGTTTTCACACTGCCACTACTTCGGTCACATAGAATCTCCACCATCCCCGAAGAGGCTTGCCGGCTCCCATCCAGGTGCCCTGGTTTCCTGGTCTGCCTTCTCCTCTCATTGCCTATCCTATGGACCATTCCACCCATTGACTCTTTTCCATTATATTCTGTGTTCAGTCAGTTTCAATTTGTCCTTCCATTATACCCTATGTCACCATTCCATCCTATATCGTGTGAGTGCTGAATTTTTGTTCATTATTTAATGATCATTGCATGTACCATTCTGTTCATAACGGTAGACCATGAGCTGTCTGTGAGAGCTCAGTGACTGTGCTGTGATCCATGGACACATATGTGTGGCATGTGGGCGTTAAAAACTCACTTTCTTTGCCATTGCACATGTAGCCCCCTCCTAGGTAGGTGCTAGGATAGATAGATAGGATTAGATATGTTTTGACAGGTAAATTTAGTCTTCACTCTGTAGGCAGAGTGACTCTAATTATTGCTAGGTAAAAATATAGTTATCTCACTGCACTGAGTGAGCTGTGATCTTTTAGTTAAGTCTGCCTTGTGTGCTCAAGCGCTGCTAGTCTGCCTGGCTTCTTCTGTATCCAGGAGTCTGCAGAAGTTTCTGGATGATAGGTGGAGAGCTATGCAGATGACAGCATGAATATTGACACAACCTACACCTATCCCAGAGAGAGGGGGCCCCAAGGCATGCTGGGTAACTGTATATAGTCTATGAACACATATGGCTCTGGGTCTTTCCTGACTTTGATTGCTCAAGCCTGGAAGAGAGCACATTGCCCTCCCAGGCAGTTGCAGCCGTAGGCTTTAGGTGGGCTACCTGAGGGCCTGAATTGCTGAGACCATAGTTCTGCTACACTGACTGAGGGGTTATCTCCTTAAGATCTGGTCTGGTATCACGGAGGAAGGCACCTGGTTTCTTTT